TATCAAGGGCCCCCTTCCAATTCTAAAATTTTAAGACTCCCTTGTGAAATTTGGTAACTTTGGAAATTTGATAGATTAGCCATCTATCTCAAGATGGCAACAGTGGTGTTGAATGAAATCTTGGGTGCTGCACTCCAGCAAAAATTGCCCTATTTTCTATTACCTTTATATGTAATTAAAATGAATTACAATTGGAATAAGATTAAATTTGGTAAACACTTTTGGAAGATTCAGAGAGCGGCAGATAAGGACTTGAGGAAGATTTGACCCCAGGTCAGCTCTCCTTGTTCTATAAACACACTTGCTTTGTTTATATTGTGTATGACCTCCTACCAGATGCCCTCTCTGAGCCATACATCCCATCAATCTGGTGATAGAATGGATTAAAATTATCCAGATCAGATAAATATAGTTGGCTTATCTAACTGTACATTCACAAAGAACTAAGTGAATTGTTGGAAAGCACCGATCTGCACCTATCAACTCTTGGAAGTTGAAAACCAAAACCACATCATCACCTTTGAAGCCACAAGGTGTTGTATCGAGTGATTCCAACACAACTTCCTGAACTTATTCCAGGGGTGCGTGTGTCAAATAAGTCAAGATGGCAGCTGCAACTGGGTGGTTGAAGTCCTGTTGTTTTTTTTCCCCACCCACATGTAAGAGAAACAATGGGGTTTCAACTATTCTTGATTTTTTTTAATCTTCTCTCTTTGGAGACATCCATGCCAGGCAGGAAGTTTCAGTAGCAGCTACTTGCTTAAGACTTAATGTGATTTAATGTCACGCTTTCAAGTTTGTAGTAGCAGACTGAGGCTCGACTACCAGTTCCATCCCTTGCCTAGGAGAACGTACGTGTTTACAAGCACACCCTCTCTGTATCGGCTGCTGTATTGTTTTAGGAAAATGCCTTAAAAATGAAAAAACAAAAGCAATATACAAAGAGGTCTATGGGGAAGCAAAAGGATGGTTTAATGCTGTCAACGTTAGTTAGATTAATTGTGTCACTAAAAATGACTCAGACTAATACACTGGCCTTGTATTAGCTTGTTCTACTGTGCGACTGAGTCATCGGCAGCTGCAACATGTGCTTCAACAACTGTTGTTTACATTGCTTTCCTGGCATGGGGTTAGCATGTAATCTCTTCCAAAGAGCCAATAAAAAGCCTGTCTAAACCTGGAAATTACGAAACAATAAGAAAAGGCCATTGCCGAATAATGCTAACACGGCAAAAAAAGCGCCCCTTTCCTCTGAGTTACTGGCAATTCAGCCGCACAACGGATGACTTGCGACTGAATGTCGAATTGGGGTTTATAGGGGAGAAAAATAAGGGGCGTTTCTCTGTAAGAAATTTGAAGTGAACTGGGTGGGATAGTGTTTCTCAAACCTCGGCAACTTGAAAGTGGGTAGACTTCAACTCCCAGAATTCCCCCTGCCAGAATTCCCCAGAATAGCTGGCTGGCAGAATTCTGGGAGTTGAAGTCCACTCACCTTCAATTGCTGAAGTTGAGAAACGTTGGCATAGGAGAATGAATGAGAAGGTTTTTTTTCCCTTGCATCCTCAGTACTACAGTAGATTTTACACCACAGTTTGAGGATATTTGTAATGCAATTGTTGGGGGGCGGGAGGAACCTGCTCTGCATCCTAGTTCATACCAACTGTGATTGCTGGCAGAGACTGAAAAAAGGAATAATTAGAATCACAAGGCATGTGATGGCAGGAAGACCCCAGAGAATCAGATAAATTAAGGGAGTAGCTGTCCATCAAACAATCCAAACTGAATTTGCATTTAGTGAGAAGAGTGTAAGCAAATAGTCAGGAGTGTATCTTGCACCAGACCCTGTTTTCAAAATGGAGGGTTGGAAATATACACCGTGTTTCTCCAAAAATAAGACCAGGTCTTATAATTTTTTTGCCACCAAAAAAGGCACCAGGTCTTATTTCCAGGGGATGTCTTCCATTAACTCACCTCACTATCTGAAGGTAAGTAGAAGGGCAGCTCCACCCTAGCTAAATTTTTACCTGTGCACCTTGCCCCATTGTGTGCACCCCAGAGTGGGTGGAGTCTTAACTAGGGCTTATTTTGGGGGGCAGTAGGGCTTATGTTGGTGTACATGAAAAATCAAGCTAAGTTTTATTTTTGGGATAGCTCTTGTTTTTGGGGAAACGGGGCACCTGAATGGGTCAAAAATGTCTTGTGGCTACCATGACATAATTGAAGCTTGGAGCCTTTTTTAGATGAAATGTATCCCATATTGAAAAGGGGCAGGACACGAATCGTGCAGTTGCATTGCCATTTTGATGTTTCTGACCCCTTATATCATCCTCATAACATAATGTGCAATGGAGTCATTCCTCATCTCTAGAAGTCACTAAATTTGGTGATTCACAGCCCACAAAGGAAATGAAGTTCTCTCTCCCCTCACCACTGAAGTGTCATCAATTGCCGGATAAACCCTAGATTTGTTTCTGGTATTAAGTAACCGTTATACAAAGACCTTCCTCCCTAATTCATCTCCATAATCTACGAAGACCCTCAGAGCTTTGCAGAAGATTGTAAGAGAAATTTGAGCACATGTAATTGTTTGGTACAAAGCCCCATTCAACTGAGAGAGACCACACAGACCTAGAAAAATGACACAAACTGTGAGAGGACTTGCAAGAAAGGAGGAATCTGAATACACATCCCAATAAGCCAAGAAAATTTGTATAAGGCTTAACGTATCCCCAGGAAAATCAAGATGACGCAGGACCGTGGTTGCCATCTTAAGAGCTGTTTGACTTTTTTGAAGCCCTCTCACCTTTGTGGATATATTATCCTTGCTTGTCTTTGTCTAGCATCAGCAAGAGGGGGTCTCTGACAATTTGCCATGGCCAACTTGCCATAGCCAACTCACTATAGCCACCCCACCACAGACAACTTGCCCTGGCCAACTTTCTTCAGCCAACATGCTGTGGGACAACTAGCCATGACCAACTCATCATAGGACAACTCACTGCGGGACAAAAGATACACTAATAAGCAGTTAGGCTTATATACTGCTTTACAGTGCTTTTACAGCCCTCTCTAAAGCAGTTTACAGTCAGCCTACTGCCTCCAACAATTTTGGGTCCCCATTTTACCGACCTCGGAAGGATAGAAGGCTGAGTCAACCTTGAGCCTGGTGGGATTTGAACTGCCAAATTGCAGGCAGCTGGCAGTCAGCAGAAGTAGCCTGCAGTACAGCACTCTAACCACTGCGCCACCCTGCAGAAATAGTGGACAGAACCATTAGAAAAGGAGGGACAACATGAAATGTGAATGACAAAAGTTAAAATAGTTTTTTTATTTTATTTTAAATAATTAAAATGAATTGTTAAATTGTCCCGCAGCAAGTGGTCTCATGGCGAGTTGGCTGTGGTGACTTGTCCCAACGGCGAGGTGGCCACAGCAAGTTGCCCCATTCTGTGGTGTGATTGCTATTTCTGCCCCAGCTTTCAATAGCAAAACAAGGGAGAAGCCAAGTCACCTGGCTTTTCAACCATCATTTTACACTGTCAGTTTGCTTTTCCTCTGTCCTGAACGATCCTCTGGCCCAGGGACAGAACTCTGGTTAACAGTGGAGTGCCATGAAATCAGTAGCATTGAAAAACATCAGGGAGAACCAAGTACCCAAAATGAAAATAAAAGAAGTCAGAGCTCCAGTAATTTTACATTTAGTTCAAAGTAAAGACATGGCTACCCGTTAGTGCTTAGAGAGTTTTGATAATATTAAAAACATAAATAAGAGAATCTTTTTTTCTTTTTCCTGCTGAAATGTCCATTCAAAAGGTTCCAGTGTTACTGGGAGCTGTCAGAATTTCCTCTTTTATTTTGTCTATAAATCCATCGTCGAAGTTCCTCCCAACCCCACATTTCATTTGTCTTAGCCGCTGCCCTTTTCCCCTACTTTATTCCCTTTCTTTTTCAGAAGTAAATGTTGAAGCAACACTGTTGGAATCTTAGTTTTGTACTTAACATTTCAATTCCTCTTTCTTCCTTTTGTCCTTTTTTTTTTAAATAGAAAAAAAAATGTTTCTGTCAGGCGTCTTGATGCTCAACCTGAATTTGAAAATCTCTTTCTGGAATCTGTGTCTATTTGTATTGTATGTGTGACTTAATCTAAGAGTAAAACTCTACAACACCTCAGACTGCAGTGGGCAAAGGGAGGAGGAATCAAAAGGAAAAATTGTACACCTTGAATAACAGCATCCTAGTTCCATCATCCCATCCCGCGGGTCCCTTGGACCAGGGGTCGCCAACCTTTTGGACCTCAGGGACCACCAAACTCATAATTTTAAATCCCATGGACTGCTAATATGAATTTTGATTAACGGCTTGCTGACATTGGTGGGAAAGTCGGTCCCATATTCCAGAGCTGCAGTCATCACAGGACTGGCCCTTTGGTCATCCCGGAGTAGCTGCTCCTCCATTCGGGTGCACTGGCCTGCCATGGACTGAGGAACAGCTCCAGGATGACCAAAGGGCCAGTCCTGTGACTATGGCAGCTCTGGAATATGGGACTGACTTTCCCACCAACGTCAGCAAGCCACCTCGGGGCGGATTTCCCTCCCCCGCTGTTGGTCTTACCTTCCAGTTCCAGCTCGTGTGGCTCTACTCAAGGTAAGGTTTGCGCTCGGCCGAAGGGTGGGGGCCAGCGGATGGGTGGGCCATGTAGGCGACACAGCCTTGTGTTCCTGTGTAGCCTGAATTGATTGCTTTGGGGGGGACATTTCTCTGCAGACCACCAAATTTTTTTCACGGACCACCGGTGGTCCCTGGCCCACTGGTTGGCGACCACTGCCTTGGACTAATGGAATCAAAGCAACTCTAGCCAACAGATTACGCATTGCTCTTCCAACTGTGTTAGTAAGAAACAAAGAGATTGGTTCTACCCCGCCCCTCCCACCCACCCCCCCAAAAAAAGGAAAAGAAAGAAAGAAAAATGTGCAAAATGATGCTGTAGTTATTTCGTTCCACACTACCAAGTTGGTGCTTTATGTCCACGTTCAGGTTTGCTCCATCTGAAGGTTACTTGCAAGTGAACACTTCTGTCCGTTCACTGCAGGTGTTGCATTTCACAAAGCAGCACCAGTGGAACTTGCAGTTGCACTGCCACACCTTGGTGTACTGGTGAGTGTTGTAGCCCCTTCCGCAGCACATCATGCCACAGCCGTCTGCCCCGAGGGACGTACGGTTGCAGAGCCTGCCCTGGGTCCCCACGCTCCCCGTGGAAGCATCTTCTTCACAGTAATTCGGTGACTTGTCGATGTAGACCAAATCGGTCTCCATCGGCTTCTGGTAGCTTTTGATCTGTTTGATCTTCAGGAAGGTCGGTTGCCGAAGCCGGCTGGCCCGGACCACTTCCACTTGCACCGCAGCATTGTATTTCTCTTTTAAAATATATCCAATCTCTCGGAATTTGGGGAGTGTAGTCCAACAAGTCTTCGTGGTGCAGGAACCAGAAACGCCATGGCATTTGCACTCCAGTTTCATCCGTCCTTCAAGCACCTGTGCAGGCAAACAGGGAGAACAAAATAACAGCAACAGGCTACAGCTTTCCTTCTGCTTGGGGGGGATATTAAATGTTGGGCCTTCAGAGTTCATGAAACGTTACAAAACCTCTATAAATATTAGTGGCGCGATCCGTCAAGAAGCCGCCAATTTTAAATCCCGCCGATTTCATTTGGAGAATAGGCTTGTATCATTTTCTCATTAAAACCCATGGAAATTAAACAAGATTCCTTCTTCTTAGCTGGAAGGAATATAGCCTAGTATTTTATTAGCTTCTCATGGATCCTGAGCCTATCAATGCAATTTATTTATTGAGGAGAGGAGGGGAGGAGAGGAGCGGGGTGAGAAGAAGGGGGAAGTGGGAGGAGAGGAGAGAGAGGGAAAAGGAGAAGAGAGGAGGGGAAAGGGAAGACAAAAGGGGGAAGGGGAGGAGAAGGAGGAAAGATCGGAAAGAGGAAGTAGGAGGAGAGGGGGAAGGGGAGGGGGAGGAGGAGACAGAGAGGGGGAAGGAGAAGGGGAAGAGAAGAGGGGGGGAAGGGAGAGGAGAGAGGGAAAAGGAAAAGAGAGAAGGGGAAGGAGAGGAGATA